TACCTCGAAATCATATACAGTGTTTAAATCAATGTCACCTCAATTAAAAAATGATAAATTTAAAATAATTAAATAAGGTAAGCCATAAAACTAATTTTTATAAAAGGGAGTCTCTAAAAATTTGATTGGAAGCTTGATATATATTAGCAGGTTTGTTAACTTGGGTTTCACTGTAAGGATTTGGTTGGCACAACCACCTTTCTTAATTTTTTTTTTAATTTTATTTTATGCATACAAGAGCTGGGGCACAGGCCAGAGGTGTGGGGGGGTGAGAGGATTCACCAGAGACAGAGTAGGAAACAGAACAGGCAGATTGGCCAAAGTATACTGTTGAGAGGAGCAGCGGGCAAGTCAGGACAGGTCTGCTGCGCCATGTGGATTGCTCCCTGGCCAGCTGGGGGATCGAACTCGTGCTGCAGAGACTGTGGATAGCTTCATAGGTTGTGTCTTAACCCCTTCGCCGCCAGGGAGGCCCTTATTTTTTTTAATTAAGTGAAATTTTTTCTTCCATTATTGCTAATTTTTGGACAATATATGATTTCTCCTCTCAGATGCCACAACTACCTTTCAAGAGTAACTACCACCTATCAGTATCTATAGGCTTTGCTCTGGGGGAGTCTCTAAATACGCTGCATAGAGGCCTAGTCGTAGCTGTGAGAAAGGAGGTGGGGGAGATTTCACCATTCCAGATATGGGTTCTCACTTAAACACAATTTTTCAACCTAGCCACCACACTTCTACTTTGAATTATACGTAACTTCTTCGAGTCCAAGAACTCTCTGGTTTGGTGTTTTCCAAAAATCATTACCTATCTCATTTGTTCTTTATACAAATTGCTTCTGATTTTCATGATTTATCCTGCATCCCACTGCCAGGCTATCCTTCTATAAGTCTTCTTTTAGTAATGGTGCTCCCCTGATATAAAAGTTTTTATGAAAGTTACATTAATTCACTAAATTGTATCTTAGTAAAAGATTTAAAGTCCTGACAATGAAGCTCAAAGTTGCGTTTCAAACTTATCCCTTGGTTTTTAAAGGAGAATTCCCTGTTCCCAAGGGGTACACCTCCTCACTACAATTTAGATACCCTATATCTCACTTCAGTACCTTGATCTAAAGCTCTCCTTCTGGAATACCTTTCCAGTCAGCTTAGCCAGGTTTTACATGTCCTTTTAGGTTAAGTAAAAGTTATAAATTCCCTATAATTTTTTACAACACTTCAGATTATCTTGATCTTTATGTTTTCTCTAAACTATTATCTTTCTGATGCATGTCCTATAACTTGGCACTCATCAATGTCCTGGAGATTTCATGTGCCTATTTCCTTGACTAGGTGATGCTGGGAACTCAGCCCATACCTTATACATTCCTAGTGTGTCTCACAATTTTGATAGTCAATAAATACCAAGTGATGGGTTTGAAAATATAATATGCTATTACTAAAAGTTATGACTTATAATTATGATTTGGCAATTATAATTTTATGAGGAAATCAAATTTGTTTTCACATAACTTGATGAAAGGAAAGATCAGGTAATGATATTATTCATTCTACAACTGAAAAAGCTGTGATAAAATGAGTTACATATGGTCACAATTTATCTGTGATAGGCTTGGAAAATAATTTATCTTTTTACCTAACCTGCCATATAATTCATTATAGGACTTAAGCAAGGAAAGGAAACAATCTTTGCTTGGCATTTTAAAATTGTACTTGTGGAATTGTTATAGAAAGAAATCGGGGACAGTTAACTATATACTTTTGTAGTTAAATGTACATACTTGATTCAAATAATTTAATATAACCAACATGTATGAATTTAAATCTATGCTTAGTGATATTGTTTATAAAAATTATGCAATAATCTGCAAGAAAGAGTGTGCTTTAAAGCACAAAAAAATTGATTTTAGGAAACTAGAAAAAAATATGTATTTAACAGCTTGTAAAATTAACACTCTTAAGTTATATTTCACTCTTTTAATGCATCTCAAACTGGAAATAGGCATAATCTGAAAAACCAACTTCAAAAGATAATTTTCATCCAGAACATATGTATAGGTAAACCTTGATTTTATAAACTATTCTGAATTTACAAGCGGAAGGAATTTTTTAAATGATACAATTCATAGGCCACTAAATGAACAATATAAACTAAGCTTTGGTAATAGTGATAACCTAGAAAACCATTATTCAATAGCGGGAATAATCCAAGCTCACACTACATTCTAAAATCCTTCATGTTGTTGCAGTTTCCTCACTCATTCCTAAACAATTGAACATTTTGAAGAAATAAGGATGCCTTAAATGGAAGACACAATGATAAATTCCATAATCTTCAATATCTAAAAAAAAAAAATGCTTACATTACTTATGGAGTGGCCACAGTCAAAGTCTGACAGTCAACTATGCTAGGAACAAAATGCTAGGGAACTTGTTTTCACTCCTTTCCTAAAAGAGTGATGTTTTAGTCAACTGCTGTCATTTTTAGGGCTAAAAATGTTGGGAAAAATCGTAAATGGAAACTTAAACATATTTACCTTTGGAGCCACCATACTGGATGAACGCACAAAAGGGGAACCAAAGGATGCATATAGATGTGATTTACTTATTATGCAACTGTGAAAGGTTTAAAGGGATCCTTCTAAAAATGTACCTGTGATATTAGAGATAATCAGGAAACACTCTCTCTCTCTCTCTCTCTCTCTCTCTCTCTCTCTCTGTCTCTCTGTCTCTCTCTTTTTGAAGACCTAACTAACAGTCTTGCTTGAAATTGAGGAAGTGGATACATACTGCTATGGGATCTCTCAAAAGCCCCAACAATGTGGGGACTGAGCTGGGCCTGACAGCGGGGAGAGGTCAAGTTATGTTGTTCAAATATATTCCATTAAGAATGTGCAAATTGTAATAGGCCTATTTTAGGAGTAACTTATCAATCATAGAAATAAAGCACAAAATATGACAGAACATAAAGAAAAATAAGTTCCTTTAGAAACCTTAAAAGTAGACTCACTGCAGCTTCTGAAACCAATATTGTTAAGTTGCAATAAATTAGAAAAATTATGTATATAATCTATCACGAAAATTTCTTTTCTGAGTTGGGTGAATTCAAATGAGACATTCCTTTCTCCATACTGCCCCCATTCATACACATAAACTTGCTTATTAAATTTAAATGCAATAAAGTTTATTTATAAAGGATTGCCAACTGGGATGCTCCACTGCATACTTTAAGATGCATGACAAGTTCCAACTTACCCTGTGCAATCGTATGGGTGGAGACCATAGACACACCTCTTACTATAGGTGGTAGGCTTGCCCTCCAGTCAAATAATTTTGATCCTGCTTTTAAGGTGAGTAATGGCATTGAGAAGTATAATTTGAGCTGTACTAAGCAAAAAACTTTCTGGGGCATATTTTGTATTCAAGCTTTAAAGTCTGATTAAAGCTTTTTATGGAATCAAATTGTGATTTTTTTTAAATAATCCCATCTTTTTTAATGGTATCCTAAAATGAAATTAAGAAGTATTATGGGTCTCAAAATACTAATTCAGCCTTGTGAATAGTCTCTGCAAACTAATAATTTATGCCAGTTGAGGAGGTAACTAAACAGTTATCTTCATGGGTAAAGATAAACTAGTTTAAACAAAGAATGAGGAAGAGCTCGAGTCCATTAAAATGACAAACTGTGTTTAAATAGTAGATAAAGATGTGTTTGTAATTATTAGATTTAATCTTGTGGATTTATGGATAGAGTCATGGGCCTAAACTTTAGACTAGTTAGACCTAAATTAAATCACAGTGTACAGAGATAAGAATTTAAATTGACACAGGATCTTCAAATCCATAAAATAATTTTAATTATTATTAGCAGTGATATAACTACATGTATGAGTAGAATATTACTAGTGATTCTTTTTATCACACCAGTTAAAACTTTTCTAGGCAAGAAGTACTTTAAAGCCTACGAGCAAAGCTGAGGCATGTGTTCATTATTTTGTGATCATAGGATACTATTATTTCCTGATTATGTTCTGAATAGAAATCCATTCGAAATTTAGCTCACCTTGTCTAGGCCCCAGTAGTATGTACAATAGAAATTTCTGAGATAGGAATTTTCTGCATCTATAATGCCCCTCTGATAACGTGTGGCTACTGAGCACTTAACATGGGGATAATGCACCTGAGAAACTGAATTTTTAATTTTAGTTTATTTTAATTAGCTTCATTATATATATATATATTAAAGATTATTTATTTATACAAGCACTGGGTACAGTCAGAAGCGCAGGAGGGTGAGAGAATTCACCAGAGCCAGAGTAGGGAACAGAACAGGCAGACTGACAAAATACACTGCTTAGGAGAGCAGCGGACGCAGCAGGAGAGGGCTGTCGCACCATGTAGGACCCTCATGAGCGGCCGGGGATTGAACCGGCACTGTAGAGGCTGCGGGCAGCTTTGCAGCCCAGCGCCCAACCGCTGCGCCACCAGAGGAGGCCCCAATTTATATTTAAATAGCTACAGGTGACTATCATATTAAACCCACATGATAGAGCATCCTAAAAGTAACACCAAATATCTTGTTATGTTAGGTCCAACTGTAGCTGCTGGTTGATTTCTATAGCATAGTACTCACAAAGGCTTACTAAAGTGGTATGCCAACAGCCATTTGTCTATAGTTTTATCATCATTCAAAAATATTAGATCTATGTCAGTGAACCTCTAATACAACATTCAGACAAATCCAAATAAAAGATACTGTATGAAAATATTTTTATTAGTGTTTATAGTATGTGAACACAACTATACTGATTAATGTGGGAGCCTGATGACCTGTGTCAAACTGTCTAATGTTAGTTCTAGAATGACTAGAATTCAAACTATGAAATATCCACTCCTACAAAGTTTTTGTCCATTACCTATCATAACACAAGAATAGCAATTACTACATAGTTTTCAGCTCCGTTGGTTAAACACTGCAAAAGCATGTCAAACCATTTTACCTGACAGACATATTTGTTCTTCCATTTGCTCAGCACACACTGACTATTTTGCATCAGCTCCTGAAGGAAACAGAAAAAGAAAGTGAGTTGGCTAGTTGGCTACACACATTGTTGTTATCAGTTAAAGTGCTTCTGATTTGCAAGCAAAAAAAAAAAAAAAAATTCATGCCACACAAAGATGCAACTGTTTTGGAACTCCTCACCGGACAAAAGCAAAGCTATCATCACCATGAGAGTTGATCCTTTATGAAAATTAAAACTGTTGAAAGATGTTTTAAAACAGATTTGTTTGTTGCCATTTTTGAAACTTTTGGAAAGATACCTCCAACTCCTTGAGTGAGTCTCGAAGTTTTTCTGGGCGTTTGTTTTTGAGCGTCCATGGATAATCTCGTGCTGGCAAATAAAACATGTACTACAGTTAGTTAAACATGATTAAAAAAGGAAACTGCCTAGCAGTGTGTCTTGGGAAGATTAAAATAAAACACCTCCTTAATTGAGAGGAAGTGGGCTTCATTTCCATCATCAAATGACAGCCTTTTGAAAGGTTTTGTCATAAGAACAGGATTTTTACCACAAAACAATCTCCCTGATCATAATTTTATGACAACCAACAAGGCTCAGAGAATTCCTGGGAAAGTTTCCTAAGCCAGTGAATCTACTTCTTAATGGTGAATGACCCACTCTTTACCAAAGAATTAACATTTTCATGTAAATAATTAAATTTTTAATCCAAAAGAAAGTTCAGATTCTGCAAGATACCTCACTTCTGAAATTGTTTCAGTATATAAATATAGTGGAGGAAAGAAATGAAATACAGGAAAAAATTTGAAATCAAGAATCAAAGCATGACATTAAAATTAAAGACTGAGTTCAAGTTTTAACAAATTAGGCGCTAATAGTACTCTTTTCAACTAATTTTCTTTAAAATCTTTACCACAATTCAATAATTAAAACCTTTGTTTTGTTTTAAATACATTTAATTAAAAGGTAAAATTATTTAGTAGAGTCTCAATGTTAGCCTAAGACAAAATCAAATAAGTTCTGTTTAAAGGAATAAAATGTCAAATTCATTGTATCTATGATAAATGATATATGATAACATGAATTCATCTTTGAATTCTCCTAAACAATACTTCTAAATAAGAGTTCTGAGGCACACAGCAGGGGAAGAGGAGAGGGAGGGATCAAAAGAGGGAAGGAAAGAGCATAAGGGATGGGGGAGATGGATCACAGATGCTATGATGGTGGGAGAACTACAGGGACAATACCTGGGAGGAAAAATCAAGTATTACCCCAAAATTAACAACAATGTTAAGAAAATTAATGATTCTTTTAAAAGAGTTGTATACACATGTATATGTATGTGTATGTATACATGATATATAGTATATGTAGACACTGAAATTTTAGAGCTGATATATAGCTGATTTCAGCAAATTAATTTCATCTAACACCCTAAATTGTATTGTGTACACTATATGTGCAAAGTTAAAAATCATTGTTACAGCTACTAAAACAATATTTTTTAATTAAATGTCCACTTGACCATTTAAAATAAGAGAACAATTAGAATGTTCAGCTCAGACAACATTTTTATTATATTAAAGTCATTAAAACCATATTATATCCATATAACATATATAGCATATTTAGATATTTTAGAACAGAAAAGACTAAAGAGAAACAAAGCTATCGATATTATAAATCTTAAATGGGTAATACATACTAATAATTTAGGCATAGCCTAAGTAATGTTTCCAGACTTATAGTATATACTTATTTTAAATATATTAAATAGAAATATGGCTCATTAAGACAGCTTATGCTTACAGAAGCACATATCTTACCAAAACTGGATAGAGATTTCAATGATCAAAATTCAAAATGCTTAACATACACAATTCTGATTCATATGTATATACCTGGAAAATGGGAATTTATAATCATAAGAAATTTGGAAGGAATGAAATTTTTGATTCATGCAGAAAACTTAAAATATTTTTTAAAACTGAAACATCAGGGTTACATTTCTAATTTTATTCCCAAAGAATAGAAAGTAAGCTTACATTCTGCCAACTTCTGCTTATCTTCTAAGTAACCATGCTCTGTTGCTGAATATTGTGGGGCAGGAGAAATATAAAGGAGGAAAAAAAAAAGGAAATTATTTTTATTATAATGCTTTGTTTTTTTTAAACACTTGGTATTTTTATAAGCACTTATAAAATATATTATACACATTGTTGAGATCAGTAGTTTATGCCAAACTTTTAAACAGACAGTTGGGGAAAAGACAAACTGGATGCTTTAATTACATAGTTACTTCCTAAATTTGCAGTGAAAAGGCTTACACAGCACAACAGGTGGGCCAATATCCTCCGCCTGCAATCTCATCAGATAGGGACGGGAACTGCAACTGAGCCCAGAACAGAAGCTGCTTCAGTCTGTCATCAGAACCATGAAGTCAGCCTATTAACCACCAAGCTAAGCACACAGGATGCCCACACAAGCCCCACTTCAACAGAGACCAAAACAGGAAGTAACTCTAGCTAGAAAGACCTTTTGGCCCATCATGAAACTTCTGGGATTAACAGGATTAATCAGATAAAGAAAATTGATCATTCACTCAGAAATGCCTATTTCAGATATCAGGTGAGGATCCAGGAGGCCAGCATCAGTGGGACCATGCATTAACAATGCCCTCTACTGGGACACTGATAAACAACGTGAATAGACTGCCCAGTTATCAGTCTGATCAGCAGTAAAATGAAAATTTTCATGTTCTTCTACAGAATTTTCTCGGTATTTATTTTTTCTAGACCTCGACATCAACCTCAACATTTTTCTGAAGAACAAAAGTGACTTTTCTTGAAATTTTAAAAGTTTATAAAAAACAGAGTTCATTTAATGGTCATTACTTTAAAGTTTAGAATATTTACTTTATAAAAATTAGTGGATTAAAATAGATACTTTACTTGGGGGATCTTTCTTGTCATAATACTGGTAGATCCCGATGTCTCTATCTATAGAAAGGAAGAAATAGCATTAGATAATGGCAAAAAGTTCAAATCATTCTATATGGCAAGGGGGTGGGGTGGATTAAAGAGGGAGACAGAAACAGTTTGTTCACATTATTAGAAATAAAATCATTCAAAAATACCTACACATAGGTTCATCCATTATACTAGAACATGCGAAAAATTGGAAAGCTTATCAATCTAATTAGAAAAGAATACAGAAACCTGATATGGCATGAGAAAGGAATATAATAAAAAACTGAAATGAAGAAACATCAACGTTCTTTATTCACACTTCCTGATATTTTTCACGGGGTGCTACCAAAGGGAACTGCCACTAAGCAATGCCAAATGAAGTCAAAATGCCCTAACTACTGGATTGTGAGCTGTAGCTTTCTTTTTCTCCAATTTAGCTCAATTTAGTATGGTGTTTAGGGAAAATATATAGGAAAGAGAGAGAGGATTAGAGGAAGGAATGGATAAATTATCTGAATCTTGTTTAAACTCAAAAAGCCTCCTAAGCCATTCAAATGTGGATGCTCTGCCTGGGCTACAGAGAAGCAATGCTAGGCTTTCCTGATGTTAAGAATGATTTTACTACGGAATCTGTTCTTCCCACTTAACTATATACAAACAAAATAATTTTGTCTGTATTCTTCCTATGTATGTACAGGGAAATATTCTTCTTTGAAGTAACATTCCTTTCCTTCCATGCAAAATTACTCTATTACTAACAAAAGGATAGATCTGTTTCTAAAGAAGTGCAAGCAGTACAGGCTGCCCCCTAGTGACTGATTGCCCCAAGCTTTCAAACTGAATGGAAACTTCAAAAAAAAAAAAAAAAAAAAAAATTGCAGCTATAATTAACCTTTCAAATTTAGCTTTCAACATTTTAAAACGTTTTTTTAAAATAGTCAATCTTCTGTATTTATTGAATTGCCATTCTATTCATTATTCTATTAATTGGAACATATATTTTTATAGAATGCAGTTTATTTCTAGTAGTTGGCTTGAATTTCTCTAATAAGGAGTAATTGGGAAAGGTCACGAGTAGAGCCTCTTGAGTGCTAGTATTTTATTTCTTGACCTGGGTGGTGATTTGATGGGTGTGTTAACTTTTTTGATAGTTCAAAACATACCTCATGATCTATACAGTTTTCAACATGTATGTGTTATGTGCATATGTTAAAAAATGTTTTTTTCATCTAAGAACCATAGGTATTATGTACACAGGCAGTAGCCTCTATTATCATATTCTACTCTATAACTAGGTCCATCAATCCATGTATCCAAATATTTATAACTCTAGAAAAGTATGATGAAGATCATGAGGGGCCCCGAATTCTGCATCTGCTCCAGAGTTATGTTAAAACACAAACAAGATGAGGGGGGCATCCACATAAGGAGATCTACTCTACATGGGATGTCCAAACAAAAGTTGGGTGAAGATGGTATCCATGCAGAGGGGTCAGCCTGACACAGTGTGTCAGAACCTTAGCAGGGCAAGATCATTCACATGGAACAATGACCTAATGTATAGTGTTAGAAGCAGAACAAGATGAGAAAGACAACTACATATGGGACAGTCTAACATGTTAGAACCTATTTGGGGTAAGAAAGGAATACACAAGAGGGAAAGAATAGTTGCAGCGAGAGAATACTGATTATATACAGGGTGACTGATTAAAAATAAAAATACTGGACCCAGCTTTCCTGTTGTCAGAGATACAAATATGGAAAGGGAGAAAATTAGAGTGAACCCTGTGGTGGTAGATCAGAATTGAAGGTATTAGTGTGAATTGGTGGTTTCTGACATAACACAACATACATAGATACAGAAATAATTACAGATGTAAATATGTGTATAAACATACATAAACACACATGCATTTCTTAAATCCTGCCCACCAAGAGGGCCAGCGAGCATGGATATTCCAATAGCAATGGGAGATACAAAGCACACCCTGCTTCTAGATACCATTCTCTACTAAAAGGAATCAAGCTCCCTAGAGAAATGGCTAATTCCAGGACTGGGGAAGGGAATGTTTAATAAGAGTCTGGATGATCTGTTGTGCTCAAAAGAAGGGAGATACTCAAGTATTGACAGAGACATGTCACACAGACACAAAAACCAAACTGAAAGGAGTCCGATGGGCCACATCAGGGGCAAATTAATTATCAAAATAAAAAATGGCAGTAATGAGTTAAAAAACATTAAATAAAAATAGGAAATCTGGACCCATAGGGATAAAAGGTTCAATAAATATATAAAAAATTCAAAAAAATTGAAAGGAACAGGATATTTATATAATTTTAAGATCCTTCCTTACAAAATACTAAATAAAAGGAGAAAGTGTGCAGCAGAGAAGCCTATCAGGCACCAACTTAATCAAGCAATCAGAAAAATCATCAGAATAGGCAAAAATTAAATTTATGCACCACCCAATATGACGCACTAAGAACACAGCATTGCTTCTGAATTATTCCCACCAAATATGTATAACCTGAACCTAACTGAGAGGAAACTTCAAACGTATCCAAATTTAGGGACATTCTGTAAAATAACTAGCCTAAATTCTTAAAAAGTAGTACAGGACCACAAAGATTTTAATAAATAAATAAATATAAAAAGAATGAAAGATTTATTCCAGAATGAAGGAGATAAAAGAGATAAAGAGATTAAATGCAACCTGTGAATCTGAACAAGATTAAAAAGGACACTGATGGGACAACTGGTGAAATTCCAAGTATTAGAAGGCAGTACTAAAATCACTGTTTATTTTCTGATTCTGATGATTACAGTGGTGATACAGTATAACATCCTTTCTATCCAAAATACACACTAATGCCAAAATACACACTAATTGACAAGTTTTCTATCAGTTTGTTTCAAAAATTAAAAAAAAAAAAAACAACTTTAAATGTCAAGTATAACCAAAGCATTAGCAAGGTTACTAATTTAGTCTAAATGACAGTGAAGGCTTCTCTGGGTGACTTATTAAAGCTGAGCCGTAAAGTAGCAGGATTTCATATGGGCTCAGAGAATAATGTTCCCAGAAGACAGAATGTATAGGGCCTGCTGAAGATCCAGTTGGGGTGAAAAATTTACTACCCCTTTCTTCACCCCCTCACCCTGAGGCCATTGTGCATCACTGTGGGATTCTTCTCTAAAAGCCATTTACTGTCTCTAAATTGGAGGAGCAGGGGCAGGGATGGAGGACTTTAGGACAAATGGAGGTCCAGGGAAGGAGTTTGCTGGGCAAGTAACAGAAGACCAAGGACATAAGGAATAAAGATAGAATTATCAGATTTCTAACCATGGTGTCCAAGCTAGGTAGAAAGATAACTGAAGAAGGAACAATAGATTAGGAGAAATGAAGGGATTAAGATATTGATAATCTTTAAAAAGCATATAACCTAAATATATAAAGTTAAGGGAACAAAAGAGATGAAAAACAAACAAGATTCTAATCATAAGTGTATCTGCTTGCTAGCTTCATTAACAGTAATAATGTTTTGCCTTATAATCATATCTAGAAAGCATCAAAATAGCTAATAGCACATTTTCATTAAGATTTAAATATTCAGAAACTAAGGCATTCATCACTTCATCACTGCTTTTTGAGTGTGAGAAACAGAAGCACAAAATATAACATAGAAGGACCTTAATTTCTTCAAGTCCCATTTTTTCCTTCTGTAAGAAAATTATATCTATAGATGATTGAATGCATCTATCATGCTTCTTTTTAAAGAATATCTGCATTGATACCATTTGGACCTTTCTAGAAAAATATCACTAATTATGACATTACCAATGTCTTTGACAATGTAAAAAGTGTTTTTCATTTTTGGCATTTGATCTCTTAAAATATCTAATTCAAACATGTGCATGGTCATAAAAATTCAAGAACTGCTAAAAGGCTTTCAACAAAAACAGTATTGCCACATGGTGTATCTTCCATCCCTTTATCTGCTCCCTAGAGACAACTATTTTAACTCTTAGCTATTTCCTTTTTTAAAAAAGATTTATTTATTTATGCATACAAGAACTGGGGTAGTGGCCAGAGGTGCAGGGGGTGGGGGGAGGTGAGAGGATTCACCAGAGACAGAATGGGGAACAGAACAGGCAGATCTACTAAAATACACTGTTGAGGGGAGCAGCAGGCAAGGCAGGAGAGGTCTGCTGCGCCATGTGGGTAGCTCCCTGGCTGGCTGGGGATTGAACTCGTGCTGCAGAGGCTGCTGATAGCTTCACAGAGCTATGCTGTGCTGTGCTTAACCTAACCCCTTGTGCCACCATGGAGGCCAAACTCTTAGCTATTTCTTCTGGGATATACCTCCATCTTTATAAATAGTATGCTTGACCTATTACTCTTCGATTCTTCAGTTTGGGTATTATCTATTGCCAATCCACCATGGAAAAAGAAGTCAATTCTCTACCACTGTACACCGTTCCCCATCTACTACCACTTACACTTCTTCCCCACTCTCCCATATTAAAAGCACTGTTTTTAGTTTAGTCTGTGCTGACAGTGCTATAAATACATAAGGATTATTCACAGCTGAACCTAGGGTACATTGTAATTACATTTCCTTTTTTATACAATTACCTTGTTTTCTACCTGCTTTCTAAAAAATATTAACACTAATTAATTTCCATTATGCTGTAACATATCAGGTGACCTATCAGTATAACTTTTCAATTGGCAATATCCCTCCTGGAGCCTCACAATCTTACTCCATTGCAAGCTGGCGAATGTCTAGGTCTACTGCACAGATACTGTTCTTGATGTAGAGAGATATCTTCCTCTGTCTTGATTTAATGTCCTTGTTTGTAAGACATACAACGGTCTGGTAGCTTACTGAGAAAAGGACATTAAGTTTGGTGAGATTTACATAACTGAAAAAGTCTGTATTTTCTTCTTGCAAATAGCTGACTAGCTGGCTGGGAAGAAAATTTAACTTGGAAATAATAATTTTTTTTTAACATAAGGTTTCTGGATTTACTGTCTTTCTCCGGTGTTCAGAAATTATACAATGTTATGCTTTGATACAAGTCTTTCCACATTCATTGTGTTGGGTACTTTATGGGCCCTTCCAACTTACACTCATCCTCTTAGTTCTAGGAAATTTTCTAGTAATAGAAAATTTGCATGTATTTTCCTTCCCTACTCTTTTCTGATTTTCCTAGAGTTATCAGTTGAATACACAGTTCTGTTGGATCTCTAACCTATCTGTTACTCTCTTCCCTATTGATTATCCATGTCTTCTGTCACAGTATTCACTTCATTTTTTTCTATCATATTTATGCATATTTCAACATAATTATGCACTCTTGATGGTAGTGTGATTATCAGAGAAAGTAGACATAAGTTCTCCCTATTCTACCATCCTGGGTTCATCCCTCTTTATTTTTTAAATTTTCAACTTTTCTGACGGAATTTCTTTTACTGTTTTTCAGTTCTATTTTTCTGCTACATATTAAACACTGAAAAGATTAGTATGATTTTCAGATGTTTTCTGAAATTTCCATATTTTGTCTCTTGCTAATCATATTTAAAAGTAAAGCATTTGAGGGGCCTCCCTGATGGCACAGTGGTTGAGCACTGCACTGCAAAGCTGTCCGCAGCCTCTGCAGCGCTGGTTCCATTCCCCGCCTGCCAGAGAGAACCCCACATGGCGCAGCAGACCTCTCCTGCCTCGTCCGCAGCTCTCCTCAGCAGTGCCTTAGGTCCGTCTGCCTGTTCTGCTCCCCACTCTGGTGAATTCTCTCACCCTCTCACACTTCTGACCTCTACCCCAGTTCTTGTATAAATAAATAAATAAATCTTTAAAAAAATAAAAGTAAAGCATTTGGAAATTGATTGGAAGATCTGTGTACATGAACAGAACTTATCCAGGGCACAGGTTGTTTGCTAGAAGAACCCCTCAACTGTTAATATAGATAGGTCATCCCTCTGAAGCCACGCAGTCACCCTAGAGCAAACCAGCTCAAGTTCCTGCCTTCTTGGAAACCCACCATGACAGTGTCAGAAACACTGGAATTAAAGGGACCTCATCATCAGTCTACAAGCTTCACTTCATCCTCCCTTTTAACACTGCCCCCCCTGGAGTTTTTGTCCCTAAATGTAGAGTCTCCCCAGTAGATATTTCTATATGAGAGGCGTTTCACTATCTCTTGGGCAGACTTTTCATACCCTATGCCTCCTGCCATATCCCCATTTTCTACAATATTGGATTACTCAAATTTTTGTACCTTTCTAGAGTTTTGATAAACAAATTTCTTCTACTCTGTAGAAAGTTGATATTTAGGTTTTTAAGCTTTGCTAATTCCTCCATCCCTTTGACTTATCAAAATTTGTCTGAATACCACTGTTTTTTCTCTTATTCTCTTAGTCCTTGTGGGTTTATACCTACTTTGTTTTAATTCATTTATTCTCACTTTAGAAGAGTTTGGAAAGGAAGCACATTGTGTGCAATTTACTTTAACTGGAAGTTCTATCCTTATACATTTTTTAAAAAATTTTTTATTAATTTTTTTTTATTTTTTACATCTTTTTTCTTTTTTTAAATCATTTTTCATTTTTAAACAACATTTGCTTCTCCCCACCCCCTCAGTTGTAGTCCCCATAACTACCCTTACACATTTTAAGCAAAATAAACTTAATGCAATTATAATGACATTACTCTGTAATCATACATGTATATTATATATATAAAGAAATAATACATTTCCAGGCAAATCATTTTATTAATAATGGTGCCAACGGAATATAAATAAGACTGTCTTCATAAATATAAGAGTTGTTTAGGTTAAAGAGGAAAAGATTTTTAAAAATGTTTTCTAAGGACATATTATCCTATAATTTCAATATACATTGTTAAAACACATATATTACTCCCATTCTTCAATGTGAAATGGAAGAGCATTAGTATAACTAAATTTTAATTGTATTTAAAAAAAATTTTTTTTAAAGATTTATTTATTTATTTATTTATACAAGCATGGGGTATAGTCAGAAGCGCAGGAGGGTGAGAGAATTCACCAGAGACAGAGCAGAGAGCAGAACAGGCAGACCGACGAGGTACACTGCTGAGGGGAGCAGCGGGCGCCAGGAGAGGTCTGCGCACCATGTGGGACCCTTGCCTGGTGGCCAGGGTTCGAACTGGCACTGCAGAGGCTGCAGGCAGCTTCACAACCCAGCACTCAACCACTGCGCCACCAGGGAGACCCGTATTTTAAAAATATTTTAAAATTTCAAATAGAAATGCCTTTTCTCATTGGCCTGCAAATAATTGGTAACATATCAGTAATTGTGTGTATCTTAAGAGGAAAGAAATATTAGGTCAATAAAATTAATTTTCAAGACACAAAATTCAACTCAACCTGAAAAAACGTTAATCAGAATATGAATTATTTTCCATTAGTCAATTTTTGATTAAAGAAAATAATGCAAGTCCCACTGGAGATACCAGGCTCTAACCTTTGCTAGTACTTATTTATAATGCTGTAACTTGTATTTGAAAAATCTTAAAATTAATCCAGAGCTCATTTACCTCCAATGTGTAAGGTATTCTTCAAAGACCACAGGTGCAGTTGCGTCAAGCAGAAAGACATCTGATGGCTGAAGGAATCTCTGTCCTGTTTAAAAATTAAAAATAGGTACCTATTAATTGTCCTATATTGCCAATAAAACTAAGATCCCTTAGAAATAATATAAAAATTTGCCACTACTGATATTTGAGATTTGGTTCATTGGAATAAACACACATTGATGTATGTTTGGTTAATCATCCAGTAATAATTGCCCAAAATGAAAAACATATTTTCCTAGATTTAGGAAAATATGTTTAGGAAATATATTTAGGAAAATCACATTGAGTAATGTGGTAAGAAGAATACATATATTGATATTGGGGTGTTCAAGAACATATGTTTGGTTTTTAAGATAGCATATTTAGAATTATTTCATATTTAAGCATTTTAAAAACATTGTTAAGGAAAGGAAACATCTGTTAGGTAATTATTAAGCACAAGCACATTTCATGGTATATTTTTAATATACAAAGCAAATATTTACAATCTCCTACATACAAACAGGTCAATTAAAGTGGAATTTGTGAAGTAAACGGTAGACAGTTATTATAAAAAAAACACAATTTACTGACAAGTAAACTGTGTGAAACCACATTAGTATTCAGACTCGTTTGCTAATGTATGAGATCCTGATATTCTACTCTGACTGAATTGGAAAAAAAAAAGGTAGCAAAAATATACATCCTGCAATTCCTCCCAGTTTCAATAGCAGGATATTATGGATATTTTTTCTTAAATCAAATGGAACTTTATCAATTTGGACTGATTAGAAGTCAATCTGATCAGAAAAAAAGACAACATTTTATAAATATTTGAAATTAATTTATATAACTTTCAAATGTTTGCTTGGAAATACATATAGTACTATTTACACTTTACTATATTAGAAATACATTCAGTAAACTAATGACCTTTTTTATAGAGATCATAAAAGAATTACACTTTTCAATAATTTTTTGAATAATGAGAGAAGCTTAGAAAATATTTTAAGACATCTTTTAGATGGGGGGAAAGGACCTCAAGTTCTTTAATTTCACAAATAACTAAAAATATTTCCCATATCATCAATATGAGTGATAATCCAAAATAATTTTAACATAAAACAAATTTCTTTGGCCCTTCCTTTACCTTTATATTTTACCTCACAATGCACTTATAATCATCAAGGAACAGTTGTATGTTCAATTAATGAGACACAGAATGCTAATTATTGAAATGGCAGAGTAAACTGTGTGGCAGCATGAAGGTTCAAGGCCTGCCTGTAATGGTGGGGCTCTGAGAAAGCTGCAGAGAAGCTGAGAAATGTTAGTAGGTCCTCACTGAAACATAGAACTTTATCAGTTAAATGATCATGATGAAAGTGATGCTGATAATAACAGATAATACTAAGTAATTACCTTATGACAAGTGTTGTAAACATTTGTATGTATTAACTCATTCAATACTTGAAGTACTCCTTTGAAGTAGTATAGTCAATGCTCCTGTAATGAGGAAATGGAGACACAGTGGGGTGACAAAGCCAGCCCACTTTCAACCCAAGCACACTGGCTCCTGAGTCCCTGCTCACAACCATAGCGCTCTTCTGTATTGGTCTGTCTAAAGGTATGAGAGGGAGAGTATACAGTATTTTCTGTAAAAGGATTGCATATCCCATGGATGGCAGTAGATCAAGATGCATGGCGGGAAGTAAAAGAAAAGTGGAGTTGAAACGGGTAGCAAGGAAGTAGGCTACAAGAATAATAATAAATTTTAAATTGATCTCAAGTCACCTTCTCCCTGTACTACAGTACCTTAAGAGGTTAAAGAAGATGAAACAATAATCCTTCTGTCCTCAGACCTGCCCTGCTCTAACCAGAAGCTACCTGCCAGTGGATATAGCTAGGAATAGCACAGAGCAGCTACTGGACTACTCCATTCTCCTACTCAAACATTACTATGAAAAAATGGTACATTTTAGTATGCAGTAGAGAAAGGGGATATTAACTTAATTACATATTTTTCAATTCAACTATTACCTTCCAGAGTTGTGATCCTGAAATGACTCTAGTGATGCTGCCACTACTCAAAATATTTCCAACGCTGTGTTCTTTGGAATTGTTTTCAGTTAGTTTTATGAGGCTTATTTCAGAAATTATTATAGTTATACTTTTTTAACTGAAATAGTGATTTAGAATATGTAAACTGCACCCATATCATTTGGGTGGGTAAGGCCTGGAGTATTTAAAGAATCAGTTAATGAATTAAATATTATTTTGCATTCACTAAGTTTACTGTATGGAGTGTAGACTCTTAACTATCCTGTTTCTTAATCTAACATCTGTTTATTAGCTAACGTGGATAAATTATTTCTCTGTTTCTAAGTTCTCCCAATCATAAAATGGTTATAATAAAATACCTACCTCAGAAGTATTGGGTGGGAACCTTATCATCGCTCTTGTTGCTTCTGCTTGCAATTACTCAATATGTCTGTCAATTTATTTGGAAAAAGAAGTATGAAATGTGATCTCTTATTTACATTGTAATTTCACAAGTTGAAATGATTGAATACTAAATCAAATAGGGGTTTTATGAAAGAAGAATAGCTGTATGTAGAGACATTTCTAGACAAGAAGAGATATTTAAATTAGGACATGCAACTGGGTAAATATTTCATTGGGAATAGGGAAGAAAGGATATGATAAAATACAGCCACGTGCTGCTAAATAATGGGGAAATTTCATTGTTAGGCAGTTTTATCCTAGTGAACATTATAGAGTGCAAAACACAAACCTAGAAAGCACAGCCTACCACATACTTAGGCTGTGGCATAGCCTACTGAGACTACCGTAGTATCAATATATATATTCTGTCATTGACAAAACACTGAAGCAATGCATGACAGTGGATGCACACTTCCTGTGATACTGAGCATCAAAAATCATGACTTATATACGATATTAGAAAATAACAAATCATACTCCTCTCATGTTTGTTGGATAACAATAATTATAATTTATGACAAGGGCAAAGTTTAGCTACAGAAAAGGCTTTGTTTTGCAAATAGATACAATTTTTTTCTAGCTGAAAATTTTACTTATGTACCAAATAAATTGATATTATGTATCACATCAAATATATTTATGAGGGGGCTCCCTGGTGGTACATTGGTTAAAGTCATTGCCACAGCCTGAGTTCAATCCCTGGCAAGGAGCTAACCCACATATGGCACAGCAGACCTCTCCTGTCTCGCACACTGCTCCCCTTAGCAGAGATTTTTCAGTAGATCCGCCTGTTCTGCTCCCCACTCTGTCTCTGGTGAATCCTCTCACCCCCACCCCCCGCACCACCTGGCCTACATCCCAGTTATTCTATGCATAATAAAATATATATATATTAAAAGACTTCATTTAAAATTCCATTTTTCATTTTAAGTCAATTTAATAATAAAGTATCTGTCAGAACTTTCCTCTGATAACAAAAATGGAGAGTGAAGTATGATTTTCTTTGTAAATTATGTTGGCTATTTCTAAAAGGTAAAAATGCTTTTAACTTAACCATAGGTCCAATGCCAATATCTACTACATTTGAAAGTCCTAAACTACTCAGAAATTCCAGTGTTTGAGGGAGATTAAGCAAAATGATGTCTGTGGAGAGCTTTTAACTTCAAGTGCAAAGAAAGCATTGCACAAAACATTTGGACATAAATGGGAAATTCTTAGAATAACAGAATTTATGATCTGATTTTTCAGCTTAACACTCAGTGATTTATGTCTAATTCCAATAAGGATGGAAGAATTGAGAAAAACATACAAGGAATTTCTCAAAATGCTCTACTTTCTGCTCTAGTTTCTGTCTAAAAGTACAGGACAAAAAGGGGAGAGACACATTCTTTATACCGGTAACTTATAAAGGATCTTTTTGTGGTCCCCAAGGGAACATTTGGTATAAGGATGGGGAAGTGGGCAAAGGGGGTGGTACTCAACAGAAAGGAAGCAATTCATGTGCTGTGTGAGGCTGCTATCTAGACAAAACAGGATCTGTATCCAACAAAAGTAGACATGGTGGCCAAGGAGTGATCCAACCTACCTGAAGAAATGGCAGCAATAATCAGTTGATGGAGCAGACTTAGCAAGCTGTGGGTCAGGCAAATAAGAAAAAGGCCAATGTATGTTAGCCAATGACTGGACTTTTTTATGAACACATGTAGCATAACTCCTTTGCACTGTTTCTAATTAAGGAGAAAGCTTTGCCAGGGACATGCATTAATAAGCAAGGGGACCAAAGACAGTTAAATGTGATCTGCTCATCATTCTTTCCCCCTAAACTTCAAATATCTGCTAGTAAGAACATATAAAACTAAAGAGAACTAATGGAGTAAACAAAACAAATTTGTAACATCTATAATAATAAGTAGATGGATAAGGTAGGAGGGAGCCAAATCAATGTCCTTTTTAGTCCTCAAGATGTCTTTACGCTGCACAGGTTTTTTGAAGAAAAAAAAAATGCGGACTTTTAAACATCTTACATCTTACTCAAGAATGCCACCAGTTAAAAAGAATGCTGATAATTTCCTTGTTTGAAAAATCTGCCTGAGGAAGTAGTCAAGACTGAGCTTGTATTATTCAAATATTGTATTAATGCATAAATAGTTGTTTTGAAGGAAGGAAGAAAAGAATTTCAGAAGAATGCTGGCTTCTGTATTTTAGGGGGGGCGGGTAATGCACAGGAAATAAAAAGGCAGTGAAATTGGGAGTGCCTAACAAAGTAATCTGAGAAATGCTGCCCCACTCAGTACCCTCGTGCATTTCTCTGGAGATATAATCCAATGCACATGACTTAGGTTTACAACAAAAGCAGCTATATAAGGGGAAAATAAATAAAATATGTGACTATCTTATTCATTAACTATAAGTAAAATAAAAAATTAAAATTAAAAATCCAGCAAATATTCTTATTGTTGAATACTGAATAGAAAAATTATCCAAATGAAATTAGCCCCAAATTATCATAATTTAATTTTTTCATTTATTTTAACATATCATAACTTTCACAATTTTCTATTTAGTTTTATAAGGTAGTTGATGATGGCCTGAGATGTAACAGGGGCCATTCTGCATGAAATTATCAGTCTCCATGACAGTATAAGAAGCATGACTTAAGTTGAGCTTGACCTAAATTTAAGTGATTGTTCTCTTTTAAATGGCAGACTCAGCCCCTGATTTAAGGAGAGATAACAGAATCCTAGAGAGCCCTACGTAGTTTTGCCTGACATCCTTAGAAAGTTTAAAACCTTCCCTCCAAAACAGATTACTAAAAAATGTTTATTTGCCTTAAGAATAGTTGTTACCAGACAGATTCAATTTTAAGAAAGTAATATGCAAAACAGAAGCAGTTGTACTAAGACATTATGACGAGTTTTACTTCTGATAACCTTCTTATGAAAAAATTGAAACTGTCACTAACTAAACCTGTAAAATACTTGTATCCTGACAGTATGTCATTCCCTAGTTTCTAAAGTCAGCTATTTTGACTGCTCTGAGGACAGGAAGCTTGAGGGCAAATAAAACCTAATGTAAAACATGATGAGGAAGAAAGAATTAACAAAGAAAAGACACTGCTGCAGTTTAAAAAAAATAAATGACACCATGGCGCCAACAAGACAGTTAAAATGAGTGTATATTAGCAAAAATACCTATAAGAGCCTAAGGGAATCTTTTTGGGCATCAACTTAAAACATATATTTGCTATTTATTATCAATAACTCTCTGAAATACCTATTCACCAATTCAAAATGTACAAAAATAAAGGCAACTAAATAGTATGAATTCAAGATAAATCATAGGTTAGTTGTATTGGACATTCTAGTTATCATTAGGTAATTTTCAAGTAACATACAATACAGTGTATTCTTCCACACCTTATCTAATGCCTTTAACACAAAATGATAAACACATGGCAAGCATATATATAAACATAAGTAATCAATGTCATGTTATCAGAAAAATATTCAACACTAAACCAAACAAATAATGATAAAGTTTATGTAAAAGGGGAGAGAATTCTCAAAGAGACCTAGAGTTTAGGCTGAACCTACTGCAACAAAAGACTAGAGTTTGGGTCACTTGTATCTCAGAGTTTAGAACATCTAAAAATTAAATATTATAAATACCTTTAAACACTTTAGGTGTATGACATCTTAGTGTGAGTCACAGATAAAAAGATTTATAAAGCAGGGTCTCTACTATCAGCTATAATCTAGTATAACAGAAAATCACAACAAAAACAAAAATATGTTTGTGGTATTTAACATAAACAGCGCTATCTATGGTTGTTTTGTAGATGTTCTAGTTTGACAATAAAGAAAAGCTCTTATGAAGCAGAGGGCACTTGAGGACTGTTAGACTTGTATAGGTGAGAGAGATTTTAAAAAGAAACAATATACAAAAGTATTAATTAGAAAAAATTCAAGGCTTATTTAAGGAACAATAAGCATTTGGTATGGTACACAAATAGAAGAGATAAATTAGGCCTACACTGAGGAAGTCTTTGAATGCCAAACAGGGATGAGGACATGGTTCCACTGAGCAGGCATGCCTCCATCATCATGGGCCAGGAAAACAGGTAACAGTACGTTCTATTCACGAATGCCTCAACTATTCAACCCACACAGCTCAATTTTCCTAGCCACTGACCTGGCTACTCAGACTCCTGTCATATGTTAGCCTTGTCCTTCACTTGGTAACTCTGTCTCTTCCTCTTCCTTAGACTATGGCAAAGGACTCAAAAATATCTTTTTGGCTTTTTTTTTTCCTGCTACATCTGGTTTCCAGGAACCCTTTACCTAGACCTGTTTCCACATGGTTTTTCCTAGTTTTAAAAGCAGGACTTGAATTGAAACACACACAGAAACAGATTAGTCTAGAAGAGGAGCAAGTTTTGCTAATGTCAATTAAGTTGAATTTTAGACAATGTGGGAGTTTATGGGATGAGTGCAGATATGGGTTGTTAGAAATACAGAAAAGGGGTTTAGAATATGAAAAGTATTTGGGGATTTTCTAAATAGGAAGTTAAATCCATTGAATAAAATCTCGGAAGAAAAATAAAGTCAAAGCTAGATAGTTTGGTACTTCTCTAACAAGGAGAACAATGAAAAAGACAGATTAAAACAACAGTTTCAGGGCCTCCCCGGTGGCGCAGCGGTTGAGCGCTGGGTTGCGAAGCTGCGCGCGGCCTCTGCGGCGCCGGTTCGATCCCCGGCTGCTCCCCGGCCACCAGAGGAGGGTCCCACATGGCGCGCAGACCTCTCCTGCCACCCGCTGCTCCCCTCAGCAGTGTACTTCGGTCCTTCTGCCTGCTCTGCTCCCCGCTCTGGCTCTGGTGAATTCTCTCGCCCTCCCACGCTTCTGACTATACCCAGTGCATGTATAAACAAAACAAACAAAGAAACCAGCAAACAAATAAAGCATGCCTCTATTAAAAAAAAAAAAAAAAAAAAAAAAAAAAAAAAAAACAACAGTTTCAGGGAAGCCATGGAAGAGAAAATGGTGTGTGTTTTTTAAATGGTTATATAGTGATCAAACTTGTTGTGTCTGAATTTTAATGTAGAGATGACCTCAATGTGGTTTAATGAGAAGGAATGCTTTATCAAGGACACAGAGATTAAGTCTTCCGAAGAAGGTGTGGTTCTACTGCTCTGAATGCTGGGCTTTAAGCCAGAAGTGCCTTCATTCTAATCCTGCTGTAACAAACTTACCCCCAAATCATTTACCCGCTCTGCCTCAATTTCCCTACTTGCAAGAGTAGGGATAATGACACTGACCTATATTTGTTAGAGTGCTGTAAGGATTAATTAATGTTGTATGGTGCTTTGAAGATGAAAAGCACTGAACATTAATAGTGGTTATTGCATAACTAGTTGCCTATAATAGTGAAAATTTTATCCTTTAATTTTATACAAACAGCAGTTGTCAAGTAAATGTTCTAGCTCCCTTAGACTATGGCAATTGTTACTGTCAATTGTTATTAAATTGCTATTTTAAATATATCTGGATCTTTTCTATATTGTATCTTAAGTATTATCTCAAAGCATATAAAGTTCTGATCAAAGTTTAGAAGACCTTTCAACCTAAAAGCTAAGCGTAAATATCTGGAACATATTTGACATTGAATGCTCATTGTAAGTATTCAATAAATGCTAAAAGGTACCACTTTATTTTATGACATTTTAGATTTAACAAATATCACTTAACAAGTAGCCACAAAATGCAAAAAAAAAAAAAAAATAGTGAGTTAAAAACATTGTCTGTTATGTCCTTATGTTCAAAACAAGCTATAGGACCTAAAAATATATAAACATGAAGAAACTTTTAAATTCATTAGACAGGCTGGTCTTTTGCTTCTTCTTGGGTTTTAAAACTGATGGAAATGCATGCCTATTCTCTTAAGAATGTAGATATAACATGAAAGGTATTTGATGTTAAAGTGAGCATGTACCCACCAACAGGCACTCCCCACTCTGCACAGAATGGCTTATAGCCTTCTAGACTCCCCTGATATATTCCTTGGTGGCTATTTCCATACCCATACTGACTTGCTTTGCAATTTTGTTAAGGAAGGATTTTTACTTTCTTTACACTTATCACCACAGCATTGATATTCTGTGCACATACACAAATTTACCTTAGTGTTTCTTAATAGCTGCAAGAGGTGTTTCATTGGATAGTGATTACAATTTCTTAATGACTACCTTCATGAACAACATCCTATTTTCTGCTTTTGGCTTTACAAATAATAGAACCATGAAAATACATATGCATATCTTGCATTTTGATAAGTATTGCCAAAATAAGTACTGCTATGGTGTGATTCTTCAGAGCTGTTATCAGTTGGTCAGATGATGCTATTTCTAGAGGAAGCATAATGTAACAGACTCATTTCCCAGAGAACCTGTGCATCATTCTCAGTAAAAGAAGTAAAAGAAATTCTATGCCTACAAAGAAAAAAGTAATCCCTTCACTTTCCCAAAATAAACTGTGACCCAAATCTTTATAAATCTCCTATTATACTTAAATTTGGAAAATATTTTTCTAGGGCAGTGTTCAAACTATTTAATTCACTTGGTTAAATAGACCTT